ACACAAATTTTAAATATCAGATTAAAATCAAATTAGTGGGAAAATTTGGAACAAATTGCCTTCAACTACAGTGAATGAGTCTATTTTTAAAATGTTGCCGCACCAGGCAAAATAGTGAAGCAAACACATTTCCTAACAGCGAGGAGACACCGTGTAGGGAGTGATTTGTCATGCTTAGTCACTGTAATTGCTCTAGCAAAACTGAAGAATCAAATAAAACGTGTTTGCAAATTGTAACTCACTCAAGGAGGCTACTTCAGACGGGTCTTAACCTGAAGGCCATAGCAGCTCCCTCTGGAGCAGACACCCCATCCCTGTCACCCCATTGTCCCCCCATGTTCTCTGGGGAGCAGCTGTGCCAACACACTAGTGAGACCACTGGCCAGTGTGCATCAGGGAAGGGCCACCATCTTCATCAGAAAGAGGGTCAGGGATTCCTGGGTTGACTTGGGGAGGGGAGAGGAGTGTTGGTAAGGATTGGGGTGCACTCCGAGGCCCCCAAGACTGGGGGCAGGGAAAGGCCTGTGACTACTGAGGAAGGACAGGTTCTTCTCCTGGTGAGAGGTCAGTGGCCACTTGCCAACAAGCAGAAAAACCTTCAGATGGGAAGGGTTTGAGACAGGCCTTGATGGTTCTTTCAGGCCCTGTCTGGGTCACCAGGTCACCCATCCCGGCCCTAGGTCCCCACATTTGGCCAGCAATGTTCCCACCTTTGGACCATAGTCCCTCAATAGTGATTTTACCAGTTGTCCTAGAGCGGGGACAAGATGGGGACAAAGAACCAGAGAGACCTTTACAGCACACATGTGACCTCTGCCTCTCAGCAGCATTGGGTACACCACACTCTCTCCCCCTTTTCCTGGAAATCCTACTTCCTCCCCACACAAGCTCCTGCAGAGCAAGACCTTCTCACTGGGGCCTGGTTTGATCTTTGTTTTGGTAGTAGCTTAACCCAACGGAGGTGTCGAAAATTATCTAGAACTGGATAGGTTTCCTTTCTGAGGATTCTTCCTTCTTAAAATTAACTTGATGGAAGATGAAGCAATGACTCATCTTGAGTGGGCCAGCACAATGGAGCCTTATTTCCGGGGCCTTGGGTTGCCTCCCACACTGGAGAACCGTGCTCCCTCAGGCCCCTGCTTGGTGGACCTCAGGCTCACCCAACAGACTCTTGGATGAAAAGAGGAGGGTGAGATGTTCTTAAAGGCAAGACGAGATGCATTCTCAAACACATGTGTTGAAGGCCTGCTGTGGACCAGACGCTGGATGTCCACCAGGGCCAAGTTCAGCTGGAGGCCAAGAGAAGCAGGATCCCAGGCAAGTTCATTTGATTTCACTCCAGGAGTTCAGGGTGACCTTGGGGAAAATAGTTTTCAGGGAGCGAGAGGGTGAGGGTGGAGGATGAGGACAAGGAAACAGGGACAACGAGGACAGGGAAGATGATTAGGAAATGACTTAGGATATGTAAGAACCCCAGAGTATGCTTTCTAAACACGCCCATACCGATCCCACCTTTAAGTCCACTTCAGGCAGACGTGGAAAGCAAATGGAAGGGTTTGCTTTCTTGGCTCTCCCTAGAAAAGGTTTTAGAACAGTGGAAGATTCTTTTCCTGTGATGCTACCCAGCTCCTTTGGGTCCTCCAGGCAACCAGGCAGTGAGGACCCCATACCCCAACCTTGTAGCTGGCTTCTGAGAGCTCAGCTGTGCCTGTCATTCCACAAGCTAAAGGGAGGTCCTGGGGTTCAGGCCCCACTAGCATCCCCAACACTGCCTTCTGCTGTTGTCAGGCATGAATGAGAACAGCCAATGAAGAAAAGGGACATCTTTGGAAGCCATGTACCCAGGGAGGCCTGTTCTTAGCAAGTGGGGCAAGAAGTCTAGAAAAATAATAAATAAAAACACAAGTGAAGAGAAGCAAAGCACTTGGGTGCCAGAATGGGGCTGGCCGAGGCTGTGGCTGCCTGAGTAATGGGTTCCATATTTGTCTGGCTCGCTCTGCAGCGACCAGGATCCAGGATGCACAGTGGGCCTTGCAGAGACTGGAGGTGACAGCCCAGCTGCAGGCAGACCCAGGCAGACCCTTGCGATGGCCCCATCCCACTGGCCACAGCATGACAGAGCATTGCTGGAAGCTCATGCTCCAGCACCCGAGCCTCCCCCGGCCTCCACCCGCGTCTCCTGGGTCCCTGCCGGCCTGCACAGATTGTTCGCGTTATTAATGCCGTTTTCCCAGAGATTCCATCTGGTTTTTTAATTGCTCTGGGATGGGGCTAGGATGCTTTGATAGTGAATTGGTATCTTTCCTATGTTCTGCTTACGTCAAATGCTCATCCACAGAGTGGGTATGGGGGAGGAGGTGAAGTGGGTGGGTGTTGAGAGAAGGGAGATAGGACAAGTCTTTCACAGAGACAAGAAAGATTTTTCAAAGTTGGTGGTGGTTTAGTTTTATTTGAAGAAAAGAAAAGAAGGGGAAAGCCCCCGGCCCCCGCCATAGGACAGAAGACAGAAACAGATGGCATACTCTGGTCCCTTCCAAACAATAACCCTGTCCCACATCTGCAAAAGACCTTTGGGTACCCTGGTAAGAGAGACCTATGATGGAGCAAGGTCAGGGTTTCTGCTCCCCTTTGACCTGCTCCTTGGGTGGCCTCTCTCACCATCCCCCAGAGCCCCCCTAATCCCATGGAACCAGCAGATCACGGAGAAGGCCTGGCAGGTTTCTGCCTGGAAAGGAGGAGGCGGGAGACCAGGGAGGGGCAGACACTCCTCACAGTCCCCATGGCTCATCGCAGGTGTCAGGCCAAACCCCATGTTCACAAGTTCCCAGGAGATCTAGGCGATAAGGGTGACATCCGTGACAATCCTAAACCATCAAGCGGCATCTGGCAGCAAAGGGGCCCCTCCCTCTCTCCTGCCCTGGTTCCTTCTCTGAAGACTGGCTCCCCTGAAAAGGGGGGCACTGGGTTCAGGGGTGGCCCATAGAGAAGGTGAGGTCCCTGCTCTCAGGCGCTACCTCTCATGAGAGAGTGTAAAGCGGAGGCATCCAGGCATGTGGCCCAAGCCCATAACCTGGTCTTGGTTCAAAAGCTGCTGCCTCCAAGAGAAAGCACATCTTGGGGCCAAGAGATTGTGAGCTACTTGAGAGTAGCACTGAGTCTCCCTGCTGAGCACCCCATCCTTTATAGGCACTGGCACATAGTAGGCATCCAATAAACACGTGTGGTGTATGCGGGCCAGGCTCTTGGCGTGGTTCTTCATGAATGCTGTAGTCAGGAAGGGACGGGTACTCCCCACCCCCCACAGGAAGCAGTGAGTGGGAAGGATGATTTTCCTGGGGGTCCCTCTGGCTGGGCACAGAGCATATGAGCTGAGCAGGTTCACCCCATGCTGCCCTCCCTCCTCCCAGAGGGTTGCTCTGTCTACTGTGGGCTGAACTGGGTATCCCACCCACTCCATACCACTGTTGGGGCTGGATGTGGCTGCATGGGCCTGGTCCCCAACAAAGCCCTCCCTGGATCTCAGGATGTGCCATTGGAGGGTGCCCTTCCTCCAGCTGACAACTTTGAAAGAAGAAAACCCCAGAAATGGGACAGTGGGGTGGAGGGAGTTTTGTGGGCAGGAGCAGAGCCCCTCCCCCGCTCACCCTGGTATCTGTTCTGGGGGCAAAGGGGGAAGCTGAGGCTTGGCCCCCTCAAACAAGAAAAACTGGAATTAGCACTGAACTCAGAGAGGGTTTGCTGGGGCCTAGCAAGCTGTGGCCTGCCCCGGGCCTCTAGGCAGGCGGTGGGGCTCTGCCTCCTTGGTTCCCAGGGCGGCGGGGCAGGCTGCCGCCTCCTCACTGGGCTCGTGGCCTCTCCTCTGCCAAGGGCGGCCATGGGTGAAGAGGCGGCAAGACACAGGCCAGAGAGGGCGGAGGGGGCGGGGCGGCAAGGCCTCCCTCCTTAACCACGAAGGCAGGTACAGATCAAGTTTTCTGAATTTAAAAGCTAAGTGTAATTTCTCAGAACTGGCACAGCCCATGTTGGGATGGGCTGTGAACTGCCTAAGTGGAGGCTCTTGGGGTGCAACCAGAAGGTGAGGAGTATTTCCCCCTCAGAGAGGGTGAGCCCCGAATGCCTGCTGCATCCTGGGCCACTTCCTCTGTTCTGTCAGGCTCGAGGGTGCGCCCTCCCTTGGCTGGCTGTCACTATTGCTAAGGGGGTGCTGGGTTGCCAGTCTGCACAGGGCAGTCGTCACAGTTGGGGGCTTGGCCCAGGGTGGGCACGCTGGGGAGGGCAGAGCCCCAGCTGGCTTCTTGCCAGGCAGTGTGGGGACAGGACCAGACGCCCACTGCTGGTCCCTGGGGTGGGTTGGGGCAGTGCAGGAGTAGAGGGCTGGATGGGGGACACTCAGCCTGCAGAGAGCAGGCAGCAGCCACACAGGGCAGGGGAGTGGGGAGGGGGTAGGGCCTGACTACTTGAGGCCTCCCTTTGAACGGCCAGGGTCCTGCTGGCAGGCTGGGGCAGAGGCCAGAGTGAGGAGGTTGCTCCAGAGACACAGGGAGCAAGTGTAGTCAAAGGGCCCGTGGAGTTTGAGCTGCTGGGCCAGGCCTGCTGATCCTACAGAGGCTGTGGCAACTTCAGGCAGAGGGTTCTCTCTCAGTGAGAGGCCACCCAAAGGCCCCGTGATCCCCTCCGTCCCTTACCTCCCCCCAACACCCCTACCACACACCCGCCAGGAGACTCATCAGGCTCTAGCATTCTCAGCTCGGAGCCTTGTCCTCCTTCTCCACTTTGCCTCGGTTTGGGAAAAGTCGCCCCTTGAATGTAAAGAGGGGCTCAGGATGGGTGGAGAGCTAATGAAAGTCAGGATCTCAGCCAGAGACTGCCGTGATTATTTACAAATGTGACCTGGCCCATAGAAAACCTTGGAAGTAGCTTTTCTGGTTTTAAAAAGACACCAAATTTGACTTTGATATGTTTATATTATAGATATAATACATAAAACATCTAGCATGAAACTCGACGTTCTCCTCAAAAGAAGAGAACCAAGCTTTCCTGCGCCCAGGCCCAGCGGTCTGGCCTGCTGGCTGGAGGCCGCCTGCCTTCCAGGCCGGGGAGCCGGGGCCTCCGGGGGACAAGTCTGTGGGCAGCCCAGGCCGGAGGGGTCTGAGGCCCATAACCACCCCCAGGGAGGGCTGCGGGGAAAGGGGAAGCCCACCTCACCTCATTGGTTCCCCTGGGAGCAAAAGCAATCCCAAAACCAAAAGGAAAGAGAGCCGCAGACCCTCCCTGCTGCTGCTGACGAAGAGTCTCATTTTGGCAAGTATCTGAGCAAAACCAAAACAAAACAAAAACCAAATAAAATGGTGGTTTAGCATAGACGTGCACATTCCCATTGCACAAGGCACCGCTGGGACACAGAGAGGCCAGATACAAGTGTTGATATCGGCTGATAAAGCGAAATATTTGGAAAGTTTCTCATAACTCCGGTCCCTCTGGGATGGACTGATGTGTTTGTACGGCGATGCTGGCGACATACAGTACAGACAAGGCTGAAGGTGCTGGTGTCCCTCCACCCCCTCCGGCCCCAGCCACAGCTCTAGGGCCCCTCTTCCAGGAGGGCCCACTCCTGTGAACACAAGTCCCTCAGCTAACTCGTGCTCTAGCTTTCTGGTCTGACTGGGGGTGGGGAGTTCCCACTGGCCACCTGGTGACCCCCCAGCTCAATGAGTTCCGCCCAGGAAGCCTGTTACAGGCTAGGAGGTTAGAGGCAAGGAACTAGGGACCCTCCACCTTCATAGAGAGCTCAGGGAGCCACTTTAGTTTCAAAGCCCCAAGTTCTGCGTTTGCCCTCTTCAAGGACAGGCGCTGAGGAGCGGCTGGGGCTGGCTTCTCCGGACTTCTGCTCCCAGAACCTTCCTTCTACCCAGGGCCCCCAGCCCTCCTTCTCTCATGGGGTCCTGCTGCAGCCTCAGGAACAAGGCAGGAACCCTCCAAATAAAATGACAAGGCACATATTTGCTCCCCCTACTCGGTAGGAATTGGAGCAGTGAATTTGCGTTCCCAAGGCACAGGTTATTCCTTAACACTAGAGTTGCCGGGCTCCCGGCTCAGCCCCACGGCCCGTCTCTCTTGCAGGGAGAAACCACTTCCTGACCCCTCAACTGAGACGCACCGAGTCCGGCGCGGAGAAGGCGAGGGGCACGCGGGACAGGACAAGCTTTCAGGCGGCACCGCAATCTCCTAGTCCTGGCTTGCGGGGCTCGGACAGTCTTGAGATCCCGAGTCCCGAAACCACTCCCGGGGTCCCAGCCAGGGGCCGGTCCCTGGCGGGCCTCACGCACAGTTGCCCATGGCCTTGACCAGGGAGCTCTCGGGCAGCTGGCGGAAGATGCCCCGCAGCGTGTCCAGTTCACGGCTCAGTTGTTCCACCCGCTTGCGCAGGCGGTCATTGTCACTGGTCAGCTCCAACACCTTCTGCTGTGTCTCCACGTTGCGCTGCTTGGCCTTGTCCCGGCTTTTGCGCACAGCGATGTTGTTGCGCTCGCGCCGCACCCGGTACTCGTTGCTGTTCTTATCCACCGACTTCTTGGCTTTGCCCGCGCTGCTGCTGCTGCTGCTGCCGCCGCTGCCGCCGCCGCCGCCGCCGCCGCCCGCTCGGAGGTCTGGGTGTGTGGCAGCCAGACCCTTGAGCGCGCTGCCGGGGCCTGGCAGGCCAGCAGCGCCGAGCGCGGGCGCTGGGTGCGGGCTGGGCACTGGCGTGGGTGGCGGCGTGGGGTGCCCGGGCTGCAGGTGCATGGTGGTCTGGCCACAGTGCGCGATCTGGAACTGCAGGTGCGGGGCGGCCAGGTGCGCGGGCGGTGGGTGTGGGTGCGGCGGCGGCGGCGGCGGCGGCGGGTAGGGAAAGAGGCCGGCCAGTGCCAGCTGCTTCGCTTCGTCCTCCTCGCGGGGCTCCTGCTTGATCACCAGCGGCCGCAGCGCCTGAGCCCCGACGCGCTCGTACAGGGGCTCCAGCCTGCCGTCCAGGTAGCCGGCCGCCGCGCAGCCGTAGCCTGGAGGGGGACCGTGGGCCCCTCCGGGCATGACGGCGCCGCCGGGGCCCAGAGGGGCACCCGGGTAGTCAAAGTCTCCGCCGCCTCCCGCGGGGACCGCGGCCGCCTTGGCCTTCTCCTGCTGCCGGCTATGCTGGAACAAGTCGGCCAGAAACTCGTCGTTGAAGGCGGCCGGGTCGATGTAGGCGCTGATGTCGATGGACGTCTCGTGTTCGCAGATGCCGCCCAGCGGCTCCGGGGCGGCAGGTGGGGCTGGGGGCTGCGCGGGGCCCGCGCCCCGGGGAAAGCCGAAGGCGGCGCTGCTGGGCGCGTGCGGGGGGCTCTGGAGGTGGCTGCTCATCGGGGGCCGCGGCTCCGCCTCGTAGAAGTCGGCCGACTCCATGGGGGAGCTAGAGTCCTCCCGGCATGGCGAGCCTCGGCGGCCTCCAGCCTGCGCGGGGCGCCGCTGCTGCCACCGCCCACCCGGAGCCCCTACCAGATCGCGCCCGCGCAGCTCCCGGTCGCGAATGGCCCGGCCTGCTCCGGGCCGGAATTTATACCAGGGCGGCCGTCGCCCTCTAGTGTCCAAACCCACCGCGCGCGGCGTCTCCTGGGTCTTAGCGCCGGCCTCCCGCAGTGGCGGTCGGAGGGGCTGGAGCGCCGCGCAGTTCCGGAGAGACCCGCGTCGCCTTGCCCACTGCCCCCTGCGCCCAGGGCACTGCAGTGGGGAATCTCCGTTCCCGACCCCCGACGGTGCTGTCCCTGCGCACACGTGATCGGTAACGGGACCCCTTCCTCTAACCTCCCCAAGGTACCCACCCTCTTTCAGCCAACAGCCTGCAAGCCCGAGCGCCCTGAGGCGCCGCGCGGGGGATGGTGGACTGCTAGACTTGGTCGCTGAGCTTCTCGGTCGCTCACTCGCTATAAAAGGCCGAACCGGTCCAGTCCCCGGCTGGGGTCTCTGCGAGGACACGACGTGGAGAAGGGCCTGGGAAAGGGGCTGGGGGCCGGGAACGGTTTGGACGGGGATCCAGCTCACACCTCGGCGTGGGAGGACGAGGGAAGAGGCCCCGAGTGCTGTGACTTGGGGTGTCTATCTTTTCCAGGCTCTGTCTCACAATACTCCGGGACCCGCTGGCGTTGCAGCCCGGGCGCTAGGACCCCGCTGAGAGCGGAGGACCGGCGGGCGGCCGCGTCCTGGAGTTCTGAGGAGCCGGCCGGTCTGTCCGCCTGGACTGGAAAACTTTCTTTTTCATTACGTCTAGCCGGAACGCTAGGATTGCTAGGCGCTCAGGGCTGGAGCTGTACGCGCTGGGGCGCCCGTTTTTTCCTGAGGGGGTGAGCTGCATTGCACTGTAGGGCTGGGTACCCGGCTGGGAGTGCCCACTGACAGAGCAGAACTTGACTCCGGGACAGGGATTCTGAAGTGAGGCTGGCGGTCAACCGGGTCGGAACCCACTGCCTTCTCCCCTATTTCCCATTCAGGTGGGCTCCGGACTGGGGGAGCAGGGGTGTGAGAGAGTCAGGGCCCTGGCATCTCCGACGCAGGATCTGAGATCTACTGGGAGAATCCTGCCTAGTGGTCCGAAGGGTACTGGGGTCCCCGGGGTCCTGGGAAATAAGGTTTCCCGACCCGAGCGGAGGGATGGGGGGAGGAGGGGAGGCTGCGGGGGCAGGGGGCGGGGGCTGGGCCCTGCAACGCCCCCGACCTACTGCTGCGGCGGTGGTGGGGAGGAAGGGGTTTGTGGCAGTGTGTCCTTGACACATGGCTCCTCGGGAGTTTTGTGCTGATCGCAGGGTCAACCGGGCTCTCATCAGGGTCCCCGTGGGCCAGAGCCCGCCTTTCACGCCCCACTGCCCAGTACGACTTGCTGCGCTGGGCTGGCCGCTTGGCCGCCTGGTGTGGGCTGGAGGTGTGCCTGCCTGAGACTCACAGGCTGCAGGTGAAGAGCCCCAGACGGCGCTTTCGAGGGGGGCGAGAGGGGGGGGGGCTGGCAAGGCGCCACAATCCGCCCGGAGCCCTCCAGGAGGCGCAGCGCAAAAACACCGCCCCAGGCCCAGCTTCCACTGCGGTCGCGCGCAGCGAAGCAGCAACCTCGTCTGGGGATCGCATTCTGTGCTTTAATCAAACCCTATTCAACATATGATTAATGGCCCAACTGCTCCACTTTTTGGTCCAGACTCACACACAAGATATTTTTAGCTTAATGCTTTTGGATGGGAGTAAAACTAGACTCATTAATAACCTGAAGTGAGCTGAGGCTCTGCTGCGTGTGCCCAAGTGAGACCCCCTTATACACCAGACACCTGTCAGGACCTCGAGGGAAACCCAAAACAGGGAGTGGGATTTTTATGTTTTCCTGCAGGACGAAAAGTGAGGCTTCCTTTCAGGGTCAGGACAAAGGACAGGCAGGTGGCCAGAATATCTGTCTGTGTTAGGGTGGGGGGAAATCACTGAGGCTCTCAGTGCTGGGGGAGCATTAGAAAAAGGCCTGTCATAGGGTGGGGTGATGAGAGAGGCATCAAGTGGGGCTCGGTGCCCACAGCCTCCTCTTCAGTGAACCAAGACTTCTCTTCTCCCCTGGAGGCCTGCTCTGTGCCAGGCTCTCAGTCCTGGGGGTAAATGTTGAGTGACCCCTGGCCTGCCTCCATGCTCAGGCCCAGCCAGGGAGACAGGTCATCACATGATGTACGACATCATTAACTTATCTCTGATAAGAGACACACATGTGGGGGAGAAGGCGATGGAAGGTGGGTGGATGAAGGGGTGTTCTGTCCGATGTACCAGGGACTCTGGAGAAAGGGGGCAACAGTGGTTGCCCCTGTGGACCAAAGTAAGTGCCCTTCAACTTCACCTTGCAGCCCTAACTCCCAAAGTGACTGTAGTTGGAGATGGGGCTTTTAGGATGTAATTAGGGTTAAATGAGGTCAAAAAGAGGGTCCTAATCTGACAGGATCCAGGACCAGAGGAAGAAAACTCTCCTTCCCTCCCTCTCCTTTCCCCCCTCCGTCCTTCTCTCCCTTCCTCCCTCTTCCAAGTGAGGACTTAAGGAGCCAGTGGCATCGGCAAACCAGGAAGAGCAGTCATGCCCAACCATGCTGACACCTGATTTTGGTTCCTGCCTCTAGAATGTTGAGAAAATGAGTTTTTAAGCCTGGTTTGTGCTGACTGAGACATTAGGTTAAAGGGAGTGAATCTTTGAGCTGCACTTTGAAGGATGAGCAGGAATTTGCTAGAGGGATAGGTAGACAGAATGGCAGGTGCAAAGGTGAAGAGCCTGCAAATGCATGGCGTGTTCTGGTAACAAAGGACAAGAGGTTTGACAGGCTGGAGTGCAGAGATTGCGAGGGAGGGGCCTAGATAAGGCTGGAGCCACACTCGGGTTGGGTTCATGACCAAGGCAGCTCGTGAAGCAGAGTGCCTGTCTCAGACTTCTGCTGTCCAGCTTTGGGCAGAAGAGTGCTGTGATGAGATCTGGTCCCTGAGAGTTCACTCCAGCGGGGGCTGGAGGAGGAAGGGTTGACCTGATGAAAAACAAGGGAAAGCTGAGTCCCCACGGTGAGGGTAGAGGCCAGAGATTTGATGAGATGTCCGTACTTGAGAGTCTGGGTAGGGGCTACATGTCTGGCATCTGGCTGGGGTCACCTTCCTCCAATATATAACACAGGGGAAATAGAAGTACCCTTCCAAACCCCTGGAGGCCATGGCATCTCACCAAGCACAGGACACCCACCTGCCACATATTCTGGAGGAAGGGTGCTAACCCAGATGTGCCTGCCAGATTTTAGTTTTCTCTTTGAGGTCTAGGAGACTTGGAAGGGGGAGGATGAGGTTTAAGGGCAAGTTGTGGGTCTGTGTGTGAGCTGCCCACAGGTGAGGGTATGTCAAGGGGCCCGAGGCAGGAGCATCCTGGAGCTGGCCAAGCGCTGCAGTAAGAACTGACTGTAGAAACTGGATGAGACCTCAGGGTTGGTGGAGACCCTTTCTGTAGAAAATGGGAAAAGGTGGAAGAGGACTCTGGCCTGATAGGTCTCAAGCCATCAGCATTTGTCTGGGGTCTCGTGAGGGTGGAGAGATGGCCTGTGGCTTTTGTACAATGGAAGCTGTCACTAAGAAGAAAAAGTCATAAATCTTTTTTTGGACTACTTTTAAAACTCTTCTTTATCTTAATTGATGGTAACTTAGCAATTCCTGAAGAGACACCCAAGGGGAGAACTCCAAGACACCCTCAATGCACTGAGCAGCGAGGCTAGGGTAGGGACCCAAGTTCTCACAGGCAGCCTGGCTCACGGGCCTACTTCTGCCCTATCAGAGGCCCAGGCAGAGAAGAGGCCAGTCTGACATGGGAGCAAGTCAGAAGTGGCATGAACATGCATTGGGTAGGTGCGAACTGTGCCTCTCACAGCTGGGAAGAGGAGGCAGCTGAGGGGCATGGAAGGGGTGGGGGCTATGTGTGGAGAGGAGGGAGAGCTGGAGACTTCTGAATTGTGGTCCTGTTTTGGGTGTTCTGGGTTGGAACCTTGTTCTAGAGCGATACACCACACTAGCCATTTTAAGAAGACAGGGCCCTGGAAAGTTTTGGTTTTATCTTGACTCAACCATCTTAGTGCAAGCACACAGGTGACTTAATGCTTAAGTTTGGACGTGGGTCCAATTCTGAAGAGCAGAACAGGAAGGAAGTCTTCAGGCTTCATTTTCTAAACTTACTGAAAACTTTAAAAGGCTGGTCTCTGCAAAGTAGGATGAGTGAGGATAATTAATAAGGATGAATTAAAGGAAAAGACACCACAATTTCCAGGCAAGGTTTACCCCTGGCCAGGGTGCATGAGTATCTCACTTGGATACAATAATTTAATAAAATACTCTCAAAGGCCTTTCCAAAACTTAGACAAACAAAACAAAATTCTAGTTACTTTTTATGCCCTGTGCACTGGCTCATAAGCCTTATGCTCACTCACTTTATTCTGCAAATACTGATAGGAAAGCAGATGAACACGTTGCCCCAGAATCAGACTTGGAGAAGTTGTGCTTATCACTGGCTAGATTGCACCTATCTGACCAGTGGTCTGGTGGTTTGGGGGCACCCCTCAGACATGTTAAAACCCCTACCTTATCACTTATTAGCTGGGTGACCGCAGGCAAGTTACAGCATTTCTCTGAGTCTCTGTTTTCCTAACTGTAAATTGGAGACAATAAATTATTGTAGTGGGTCTTCAGCTTGTTCAAGGGCAAGAGCACGTAGAAGTCACACAGAACATGACAAGGCATAATTAATTCTGTCATCATGAGCTTGAAAGTATTTAACTGGTAGGAAATAGACCCAGATTGTATGTGCACAAGATAAAATCATGACTGTGAGCATGCAGGTCCATAAAGCGTCCACATTGTCAGATTCATGAGAATCAGCTGTTTCCAGTTTTCATCTACTATACTGTGTATGTGGTTTCTTCTGTTGTTTTTCTTGTTTATTTTATTTCCTTGTCACTGCTAGCCGATAAGCAGTAGCAGTCC